GAATGGGAAACCACAGAAATAACAGGCATGAACTTATTTTGTGATTCAGCAGCATTTCTGAAAGATTCCTGGCGAATGCAGAGCCCTGCTGAAACTTCTTAAAAGTGGTGAGAAATATGTATATAAAGTTATATTAGACAGAGTTGTTCTTTTTCTTCTCTCCCTTTTTCAGCTCAGTTCTACCCATTTCTCCCTCTCCTTCCCGTTTGTATGCTTTGAAGCTTGGTTAATTTATTTTGCTTCTTCAGCTAATGCCAAATTTGAAGTTAAAAAAGCTGATAAAACTGAACAATTTTACGAACAACGGGAAAGAACCTCTTGGTACCTGAAGTTCAGATACAAGTAGCATCGATTTTCCACTGCTTTAAAATGCAAATAGAACAAAAGACCCAACGAAGTGGAACAGGGAACAGGAGGCAATTCGGGAACACAACGATTAGAGAGAAGAAAACAGAGAGGAGTCCAGAGGAGAGGTGTGCTGCTAGCAGTCTAATTTCCTATTTCACTTTTACAACAGAACAGACCACAACAATCATTAAACAAACCACTTGAAGACCCAAGTCTTATCTCAAACAACACACTGTGTACTACATTCTTCCAACTCCTTCAATTAATTTTATAGATTCTGCTTGAATCTGCGTATTCTGCTTATAAGACTTCCCACGCAGAAGGAAAAGCGCAGCCACTCCTCCATACACCGCTACTTTATTCGAGATTCCCGCACGCACCTGCTGCAAATCTGGGATTTGTTCTAGGATATTTTCATCACTTTCCCATTTGAACATCAGGTCTTAAAGTGTTTCTATTATTACTTTTGATTCCTCAAAGTGGTGGTGACAAATGATTAACTGGTACAGTAATCTTTGCACATGGAAGATTTCCCATTTCTAATTACACAGGAACAGGCCTACATTTAGTACCGTATTTATTTTAAAACAGATTTAAATTACAGCCAGAAGTACGTCCTTCAAAAAAGGCAAAAACACACGTGCATTTTTATTATTAGACACGAACCCAGTCCTATTAAATTCAGTGGGAATACGCACCTACCTTTACAAAAGGGGAACAACTTTTGCATACACAAGCAGGGCCCTCAAACTCAATTTAATGGCAACTTGAGGCCTAGAAGTCTCAAGCCCTTTGTCATAAGGGCCTAAAGCTGACCTAACGCAAGTGAGGAAACGAACTTTGTCTCGTTCGGGTTTTTTTAAGACACAGTGATGCCAAATGTTTGCCTGTCAGTACCACAGTGGGTACCCCACACCCCTGCCAGCTTTACACTACCTGTCAAAAGGCAGTCTTTTTACACTAAGGGAAACTCACTTTGCAGTTGCACGTCTTTATTAACTGTTGTGTTGGTTCCAGTCCGCAGGATCTTGTAAACAGCCCCACCGGGCCAGCCAGTGTCCCCCCGCCCCAGTGGCGCTGGCGGGGACGGGGCAGTCTGACAGGCGCGACCCGGAAGCTGTTGGGGGTGGGCAGCGCAGTCTCCGTCCGCACAAATCAGCAGGGATTGGGGTGATCAGCAGAGAAGAAGCATCTTTTGTCAGAGAAATTGGCCTGGGAGTGGGGGCTGGAGGGTTCTTTCTCCCCGTTCTCAGCTCCCGGGCTCAGGGAGGGTTTCCCTCTCAATTTGGATTTTCTTTGCTGTGTCGGTCCACAGGTGATGAGACCCTGTATCATTTGTTCTATTTTTTGGTTCTTTTAATTACCTATTAGCAGTTGAATTGTTAGTAACTCCATGTTTCATTTATATAATTAAGTAGTTCTTAATATTACGAGCCTCCCTTGTTTTTCCTCAGACCCTTCCTCACTGGGGGGTGAGCAGCAGAGTCACTGTTGGTGCTTAATTGCCAGAGAGGGCTAAACCGCAACAACTGTTACATTTTATGACTTATGTAAATACATAATGCTATATGTATTTATGACTTTCAAAACTTCAAGGTTATTCTGGAGTCACCTTTCTGTGGTTATGGATAAGCTAATTCATACATTGCAATAAATATGCAATTGACCAGAAAATAGTTCTCTGAATCCCAAATCCAGGCATCCTTAGATCAAGTGGTTTATATTATGCTTTCACTTCTGAAACTATCTTCATGCTTCTGTCCCTCTGGTAGAGTATGAATTGCTTTTAAGAACTGAAACTAGATATTTGCACTTCATTTGACTTTTCCATACTAATCTGTTTTCATAGCTGGTGCTGTATTTTTGTAAAGTACTTGTGTTTAGGCTTGCATATGGTTACTGACTTCCTTATCAACAAATCTGGAGTGATCACACTGTACATATGATGGCTTTAAGGAAATAAAATGCTTCCCAACTGGGGACGCGAGAACAAAACAATTCATCCTACATTCTCTCAGGTACAGCATCACTTTCAAGCCTGAATCAGAAACACACAGAGACACGGATCTAAAATGACCAACCACTTTGACTGTGCAGAAAGCTGGTAGGTGGCACAGAGATTTATCTATTGCACAATTCTAAATTTGATCCTTAATCCCACATCTAACATGCAAGTCCTACTAAGAGGTGTAACTAGCTCATAATTTTTTGTTCCCTAGGGCTTTGAAATGAAGAGTGAAAAAGGAGCTTTTGTGTAAATCATTCCTAGAAACTGACTGGTCTTCAGCATCCAGCAACACAAGTGCGCAGTGAAACACAGCACAGCACCTTGTTTTCAACCACCTCAACCACGAGCAGAATGCGCAACCCCAAGTGTAAAATAACCAGAATGTTTTTAATTTCAAAATATTTGGGAGTCTCTGTTACCTGAATGCCAATACTCCAATGCCACTACAAAACTCAGGCTTTGCACTAACTTCTTGCCAAACCCTTGTATCTACAGGCTGATCTGGTGTTGTTTCAGGCCTTTTAATAAACTGCGTACAAAGTAAATGCACTTCTAAGTGAACAGTTCTCAAGTTCTACAACATTTGGGCGCCCACGCTTCAGAGACACATTTCAATTGATATTTTATCCAATTATGCATTTAAAACAATTTATTGAGATTTGAATCTAAACCACAAGTCTTACGAGAAAGGATGACTTCCATTTTCTTTCCCCCTAGCAGAGACTCAATTCAAGCCACATATGGTACATTTTGTACCTTCCCATCACTCATGAACTAGAACAATCTAGGGAGATTACATCCAAAAATGTCAACCAAAATGAAGTAAAACAGAAACACGTAAGTTAAAACTAGTATGTTAGTTTGGTACGGTTCTTGCGCTGATACAGATTACCTGTATCCTAAAGTCTCCCATAAGTAGTTCACAAAAACCCAAATCTCAGCTTCTACTCTAATTGGACCTAAAAGTTTCGGAGCCCCTTATTATTTGAAATGTATCAATGAAGGTGACAAGAAATAACTAAATCTTCCCCAGATCCAAAATGATAATGAAGACTCCTAACACCAAAGATTATTTCTCCTAAAGGAAGCCTGCAACGTTGTGGTAAGTAAAAATATTAAAAAAATGTTCCACAAAGGAAACTTCTAGATCTGCTTTTGCTGCTCCCGTTGTTCTCGTCTACAGCTTGAGGAAATTTATGACTTCCTCCTTCTGCTTGTACCACTAAGAAATCTTCCAGAATACAAGTCTCCCCAATCCTCTGCCTACACATGTATGTACGTTGAGGTGAATGAGATGAAAATACAAGTCCTTTTGTCTGGGGGAAGGGAATACTCCCCCAGACCTTTTCTTTTTTTAAAATACTCTTCTAAAGTGGCTATAAAAAGCATGTTTGTGCTTCTCTGCTATTTATACTGTATAGGAAGAAGGCCTGAAAATTGGCAGCAGGCATTTCTGCATATTTTGTGCCTCAGAAATACACGTATGCCAAGAATTTTCATCTGTGGTTTCACTGCAGAAATCCTCAGATTTCTAGGAATAGGAGGGGGAAAATTTGTTTCATTCCTCTGCTAGAGGACACACTGCCACACCTCTACTATGGCAAATAATAAGCATGTCAGGAGTTTGAATTTAAAAATGACTTTTTTAAAGGTATTTGAATAAAAATCTTTTCAAACCTCAATTTTTTAGAAGAATCTGAGAACCCAGAGATAACATTTTAGCACAAAACACATGGAAAATCTTCTTTTAAAAGGAAAAAAACCTAACAAAATTAAAAAAAAAAAAAAAACAGGCCTATTTCAGATCATTCTTTTATATGTATTGGGTTTGTGTGGCAAGGTTTTGGCAGCAGGGGGGCTAGAGGTGTGGCTTCTGTGAGAAACTGCTGGAAGCTTCCCCTAAGTTGAGCCTGTTTTGCCCATGACAGTAATTGCTGAGTGATGTCTCCCTGTCCCTGTCTGGATTCACAAGTTTTTTATTATCATTTCTCTCCCCTGCCCAGCTGAGGAGGGGAGTGATAGAGCAGCTTTGGTGGGCACCTGGACTCCAGCCAGGGTCAACCCACCACAATATACACAAAGCAGTAATAAAGATCAAAACAGATCTTTTCTTCCACACTGGTGACCGTTAGAGAAAGTGCTGCTGAGATGGAAAGGCTGGTATTTCATACAAGTAATATTAAAAATTTGCACTTTACTGCTATTCCACTGGAAAATGGTGGAGGGAGTAACACAATTCTCAGCAGGCAAATACTCCCACACGTTGCCTCCATGTGAAAATCTTGAGGCTATCAACCACCAGCTGCCCAGAGACATTAGCTACAAACCAAAGCCTTGTGTCACAGCCAAGTGAACTTTTCTTTAGGTCAACACGAAGATTTACTAGCACTCAGAACAGTATACACCAACTTCAAGCAAAAACCCAAGATAGCCCTATCAGCTCCATATTTCAGTTCCTCCCACCTGAATTGACTTCTCTTGTCTAAGTCAACTAATGCACAATTCAACAGCCTTGACTTACTGTGAGATGTGAGTTATTGGGGTCAGCAGTGTCTCAGCCTCCAGGTCAAGCTCATCAGCAAAGCTGTTGGTCCTGATGAAGGGTCCTGTGTTCACATCTAAAAACGTCGGGTTTTTCTTCACTGTGAGGAAACATGCAGGTAACAGTTAAAGCAATAGCATTAGGCTGTGTCAAGAAAGGTCTACCACTCATTTGGATCTCTGAAATACCATACATTTTAACAGAATACTGAAAAAAAATTACTCAAAAAAATTGCATATACTGCAACAATACTGAAAAGTAAAATTTTAACTCCTACCTGAAGAATTTCAACTTCTGCTGAAGACTTAAAACAATATATTAATTTTCTTAGTTCATACTCCTTATACACTAGAATGTAGAATATCTATGTCACAGGCAGCTTTATGTGTTGTAAAATTTATCGTACAATACTTAGCCGTACCACAGACCACCAGTGTACAGCAACAGTGCCTGAATGCAATTCAGTGACAAAATCACTTCTTTTTATATCATCTATACTTCATGTTACAGTTTATAATACCACTTTCTGGGGTGTAATTACTGTGACTAAGATCAAGAAATCAGGCCTAGATCAACAACGGATCCGAGGCGTTTTCACGGTGAGCAGTCAGCTCCTGTCACACACTGAGCCAGTCTAGGGGTTCCCTTTGTCCCCCTCACACTTAGGAACAAGGATGCCTCATCTTTGAGCCAAGACATGAGACAGGTGGCAAGATGTTCCATTCATCCAAGATGAAGTCCTTGGCAGAAAGGCCATTTCACAAAACTTCAGATACTGAAAATTTTTAGTGGCAAAATTTCTTGTATACCAACACTTTCAGGCATCCAAGAAATTGGGCAGAGCATTACGTATTTCATTTTTAAATTCAGACTCCTAAATTCTGACAGACTAACATTAAGAGCCCTAAGTGCTTTTTCCAGCATGGTCCTAGCATTCGTTACAGAAACCAGAAAATTTGCACGTAAAGAAAACCACTACTGTATTTGTACATGACTGTAAATGAATTCTATAGAGAATAAAACCAAGTAAAATTCTGTAGAAATCACACCTGCATAGAAATTTTTATCTGTGCAACTGGCTGGATCCTTCATTTAAATCATTATAATGTTGTAATTTATGAAGTCTCTACTGTAGTAAACAAAATACTTTGCCCTGCCAAAATGCAACATGAAAGCTAAAGGAATACAGCACAAAAAGGTAGCTTAAATGTAGCTGAATATAACAGGGATAGAAGTGAGGTTATGAGGAAACTTTGTTTTAAATGCAACCATTTTACTCAAGGAAGTAGATATCTTCATATGGCAGAAATGGATTTTAAATTTTACAAATAATCAAAAGAGAAAATGTTATTGTATCGTCAGGCACCTGGCCATTCAAAAATCACAGTGGGAAAGTCTGCTCTCCTGCAACTGGAATAGGAGAGGAAGATCTCTGAAATCAGAGAGCAGGGAGGAGGGGAAGGGACAGACAACTGCTAGAAGATTAATTATTAAAAACAGGAGCCACTTGCAGCTCTTGAAAATTCTATAGTAAATTTTAGCAAATGTTGGCTCTCTATTTTTGGTTTTATTATCATGTTATTTAATCATTTTACTTAGGTATCATCCAAGATCACGGCAGTGAAACAAGCAGAATAATTCCAGATTCAGATTTGCAGTAAAACATCTTTAAAATAGACTCCTCCTGGCTTTCACTTAATTAATTTTCACTGTTGTCATTTCTACAAGATACAAATGAAACTTTTCCAGGAACTCACAAGCTTTTCAGTTTTCCTGATGACAAGCTGAACCTAAAGCCATGTAAAGAGTTTGCTGAACGCTCACTACGCTGTGCTTGTGGGAGCTACAGCACACGGTACGGAAGTTGATTTGTGGAAACGGCTGTTCTTGGGTCATGCCGCGTTCCTGCTTTTCAGTTTCTTGGGGGGGAGAGGAGGAGTGGCCCAGTGAAAAAGGGACAAGGCAGCAAGGCTGAACCTCAGCCTATCTGAAAGCGCTGTTACCTGAACACAGAGAGGAACAGCTGCTTAATATGAAGCAAACATGGTATCTCCCTCTCTCTTTTCATTTGAAAATTTTCTTAGAAGATCATAACCAAGCTTGGTCTGTTCTGGTGACCGGTGCAGCCCTTTGCTTTTTAAACTCTCATTATTATGTTGCTGCTTCCAACGTGAAGGAGGAACCACTCCAAAACTCGACCACGCCACCCACTTGCACAGAGAAAGAGGAGGGACCAAGAAAAGAACTTGGCATGAATGAGAGCTTCCCTGCCACGAAGTGCTTTGAAACAAGGCTCAAGCAGAGCACCAGGGAGCACATCCTGCCGCAGCGTATTTTTTAATTTATAAAAATAAATTCATGGCCATTTGACTTTAGAGGAGTCTTTCTCACAAAACAGTATTCAACAAAGGTATGTTAAAAAAGACAGTAGAATTCTAAATAAGTAGGTTAAAGGGAAAAAAGAAGGAAGCTTCAGAAACTCAGTTTCAGTGACTAATGAGTAAAAAGAAACAAGAAACAAGTATAGCAAGGGATATTTACTGTAATTCAGGGGTCCCCAAGCTTGATTTTTTCCATTTTTGATGGGTAGCAGCAGCGACTATGGTAACAGGCATGACTATCCAACTGATAATGCTGAGCCAGGTACTACTTTGAAATGGCAAAAAATACACTCTCTCCACAAACTGAGAACCCCTGCTTTAAAACAGGAACTCTTAACTTTCTGGAAACATTCAAGGCCGGGCTGGATGAGGCTCGGAGCAACTCGATCTAGTCAAAGATGCCCCTGCTCATTGCAGGTGGGTTGAACTAGGTAACATTTAAAGATCCCCTGCAACCCAAACTATTGTGTTTCTATGTACTGTCAACCGAGGATCATGAACACAGTAACAAGAAACTACTGATGGGCTTTCTGTGTTACCAACACAGCAATTTTACATACAATACTACATGGATGCAGATGTTTTTCTGGTCATGGAGTAATAGGCTAGTAAGACAAAATATGTTACGCTTCCTCTTTTGCAAGCACAGACCAAAAATTTAAACCACATAAAAGCATTTTTCATGGAAAATCTGAGTTTTAATTAATGAATTTAGAAAATACCTCTGTTCTGTAAAAATTTTCTTTTTTATTTAAACATTTGCAATTCAAAATGCAAACAACTTTCCAAACTACATTCTACTGACATGCCTATGCTTTCTGTAAAATCCAGCACTTTTAATTTTCTGTGCCACAGTAGGCAACTCCAGACAGAGCATTGCAAAGATTTAGTAATTAACGAAGGTGATGGAGCAATGAAATGTTATGAGCTTTACCTGGAGAGGAAGGAGCACTGGAAGACTGCTGGTCTGCGGAAAAGGGTGGCCAGGAGCGCTGACAATCTGAGTTAGAGTAAAGATGCACATGAAATAGAGACAGGAGACAGGAAAACAATAAAAGCTTCAGACAGGCAGCCGAGGAGATGCAGACATACCTACAATACAGTATGTTGTACTGCAATATCTATGTACTACGGTGGAGAAGTGTTTGTAGGAACCTTTTAGTGTGCACTACATGTTAGCAGAACGTTAAATCGCCACTACAGGAGGTATTGTTGTGCCTTCAAGCCCATCCTTCAGGACACTGTCACCTGCTGCGAGACATTCCTCCCTACATGCCAGTCCCATTTTGAGGAAAGTAATCCATGTGTTTATGCCTTCCTTCCCTGCTTTAGGGTCTCCTCAGGTGTTTCCCTTTCCAAAGCATACAACCTCATATGGGTCAGACCCCTCTTGCTCTAGTTCATACCGTTAAGAGTGTAACTAACTCACACACTGGGACAGAGTCTAAGTTTAAGTCTTAGTGTTAAGGCAAAGAGAAAAACTCTCAAAATCTTAATGTATTGGAGTTCAAAAAAAAAAAAAAATCTGAAAAAATAAGAAAATCTCATTTTGCAAGTGGCCTGTCAGTGTTAGGCACACACTAGCCTTGGGTCTTTGCTGAACTGATGATACCAGGAGAAAGGAGAAGGGGAGAAAAGGAGGTGGAAGCCACTGGTTGTACAAGGTTACTGGCTGGGAAGCCAGATGGGGGATCCAGGAGTGTAAATACATAAATGTAAGCGGGCAGCCCAAAGGCAGGACCAAAATTTACTGAATATGAGGAAGCAGCATACGGATATATGACTAGAAGCTTTTTGAGGACCAAATTAAAGCTGAATAAGCATCCTTTGTTCTTGTACTTCCTAAGTTCTTGTTTCTGAGCATTTGACTTAGCAGCTTCAGTTTTTTGTGTAGATAACCTTATTCCAGTAGGTACAAATACAGTCTCTCCTTTATTTTGAGTCACTGTGAGAACAGTGTTAGGTAACCTCGTGTGTCCACCAAGCTCACACTGCCTGGCTAGGAAACAGAAACGGAGCCTATGTTGGCTGGCAAAGCTCCTCTGATATTTCCCCAAGATGAAGGAATTTCTCCTTCAAGTAAAACAGGTGACTTCATGGCTCCTACTGTTCCCCTGAGCTTGTTCCACCATGGTCACCCCCAACAGAGACGCACCACTTGGAAGACAGGAGAAAAGTGGAATCCAGAAAATGGGCAAATCAAGGATCCATCAGGGGGAGTCAAGGAGACTGTTTGTTTTCTGCTATTTTACCCCCTTAACTGCACCTGTGTTCCATGTGGGTTCAGAGGAGAAACTGAATCTTGTATTTTCAGACAATTTAATCAAAGCCTGAGCATTCTTGCACTTGATCACTGACAAGATGCCTCTCTTGTCTTTAGTGGGTGCACAGCAGACAACTTACAGGTGGCTCAAAGTACTCTCATTAAATCACAGAGGTTTTTTGCCTGGCTCTAATCCTAGAGTCTTTGGGGAACACTCAATTGTTAAGAAAGTGCCTGAGCAAGCACATTAGAAACATCACAGGACTACATAGCTGCTTAAGTGATCACAGAATCCAGACAAACAGTAAAATAAATTATTTAATTTATGGGCCCCCATCTGTTCACAAATATCTGCAGAGCATTTTTACAGGGACAGATGCATGTACTTCAGAATGTAGGATACTGGTGGTCAAACGTGGAAATTTTTCTCCCATCCCAGTCTATTTGTTTAGAAATTAATTCTCAGCTATATGCTCAGATAACTACTGGATGGATTATACTTTGTATGTACATTGTCTTTGTCTATTGGTTATATATACACAAGCAATTTTTCTCAATTATTAAAAAAAGATTATATAGAGTGCTCACTTTTTTCTTTGTAATGAAAAATGTAGGTGAAATTGTGATTGTAAGTGTGAGAATGTACATTTTTGACTGTGTAATGTATTTGGTTGCAGAAGATTTCTTAGAAACTACATGGCACTAGGACACACATGAAAAGCACTGCAAACATGACATTGGCATAAGCTGGCATGCCATAGATAGAATTATTTTCCTCAACTTACCAAGCAATTTTAACATTCCTGTTTGTCCTGTATACTTGTAACAGTTTAGAGAGAGCAGAACACAGATAAAGAAAAAAGGTAAGCGTCAGAAGAAAGTAGAGAAATTCCTTTTACTGAAAGCTATAGAGCTGATTTTTGAAGTGGCAGTAGTAGGCTGCCTGCAAATCATACTGTCCTTTAATCAACTCAGAGACTTAGTGATAAAAGGTGGGAGTTTACAAATCTAAGCAACTGTGCAGTTCATTCATTGGGTTGTTTTGAAGAGAGGTGTCTGTACTCAAAGCCTGAGACACAGACTAAACTTGGTACTTGTCCACCTTTTAACAGCTATGTCATTTCTTCCACCAGGTTCGATTCACAATCATTCCTTAACAGAGGCCAAGAGTGGAAAAGCAGGGACGTAACAGAACAAGACAAGATGGAAGCGTACCAGAAAGTACATGGCAGGTGAGACTTTCTGCTTGGACTAAAATATGCCTGGTGCCAGCCCACATAGCCATCTTATTTCAAAGGTCATTAAATTTAATCAGGTCAGCCAAATTTTTGAGGAGAAAAAAAGCGTAAGTACTTAAGGTATCTATAATCAATAAAACACATCTTAAAAATTAAACCTCATTCTTGCTGCCAAAGTTTAAGCAATACACATTAAAGACTTCTAATAAAACTACATTTGTAAAAAAGCCACATTGTAAATTCAGAGTTATTTTGGAAGTTCATTACAGTCAAAGCAACTACAACTAAGCTATTCATTATAATGTGACTATCAAAATCCTTTCTTCTTTTTCCTCATACTGTACCATTTTGTACAGTGACAGTTAATACAGATGGATCCACATTTATCTTAAGTACTTCTGCTTTCAAAACTTGATTCTCAGCCTATTCCACCGAGCAGATGGCAGGAGCACATGATGGTTTCATGTATCAGACTATGTTCAGTGCAGCCAAGACGTGTCAACCCTTTTTGGTTGAGGTACAAGCACAATACTGACACATCTTGGGTAAATTTCATGTGGAAAAGCTGACAGCTAATCCCTACAGTTTCCATCAGCTGCAGAATTAGGGAATATATGCACCAGCCTCAGAGACAGCAGCTCTTCTGTCAGGCAGAAATGACAAATATGACCACTGCAGTGGTCTGCA